ATAAATAAGTGCATAAACAGGGAAGCAAATAAATAATGAAATTGGACAAGATAAATAAATAAATGTGTGAATCCGGAGAGGGACGTGAAATTTGTATGTAAATTGCTTCTGGTGATAGGACCAGGTGGCTGCTGGTAGGGGAGGGATGGGGATAGTGGGGGGTGGGGGTTGGGAGGTGAAGGGGGGGGCACTGGAGAAGCTGCCCCCTGAAATCACAAGGTGGGGGCTGCCATTGGCCCACTGCATTGCACCCACAATGGCCACATCAACCAAAAGTCCCCATGTCCCCATTGTATTATTGTCTGTTATCCGCAATAGGTGCTGGGGCTTTGTGCGCTGAGGCACGTTTTGCCTTTATTTTTTTAATTTAATTTCACCAGGTAAAACCCACTGAGCGATTAGCTCTTTTTCGGAAGCGACCTGACCACAAATGATACCTCAACGACGTCGCTTATCACGTGGAATATTTATTTACGGCTGAATGCTCGAAACGCATGTTTCTAAACGCGGAGGGAAAACCCGAAGGACCTAGAGGAAAATCCACGCGAGCACGGGGAGAGAGACATCTAAACTCCAAATATACAGGGGTCATTGTCGGGATCGAACCCACGACCTCCTGCATACCAGGCGACAGAGATAACATCTCGCCACCGTGGCGAGATGTTATCGCCACCGTGGCGAGATGTTACAATATATGTATTTACGCGTTTTCAGGCTTACAAGAATGACGTCACTCGACACCACGTGACACCGTTTTTGGCAGGAAAGTCGTTGGAAGTGTGGTCACTGCGAAAGAAGTGCAACATACATTTGTGAAGTCACTTTTATTTGGTGTCCTATATTTCGGATCTACGCGTGATTTTCGGCTTTATGACACACCATAGATTCATTACACTTGCTAGGAAATCTCACAAATTAATTATGCAGAAATGAAAACTCTTTTAAATGTATTTTTGTTAAGATTTTGGTCATAATGGCTCCACGCACAAGTGAACATTTGGCACCGATTTTCTCGGACGATGACCCCCGAGCCATTCGTGGAAATTCAACGTCCCTATGACGGGAGTCCATTGCCTCCACGGTACAATGACTGTTGACTCCACACATGGTGGTCAGGGATTTTTTATCAATGCTAGAAGCCAAATGCTGGCTGAAGCCCTGATTTGAACTCACAACCTCCCGAATGAAAGTTAAGTGCTCCAACACATTTACATCATCTCCACTTCTCCTCTCCCAGCCTTCGCCGCTCTCCCCGTGTTCTCGCGGCTCTGAGAAACGCAATTCAAAAATATCCGGCCGACCCAGTTTGTATGGCCAGTTGTAGACAAATGTAATTAGGCTTTAATGTCACAACGATGAATTGGGAAACGCTGTTGCATCGTTCACGTGGGAGTTTGGCACCGTCGCACTTTTCCGGTCCAAATTGGAGGGTCCTATGCAGGCAAGTGATGATAATTGGCTGTACGCTCTCCCGGGCTAGTACCTGGAGCTTAATTGTGTGCCACTAATGTAGCAGGACATCGTTGGCAAGGCCCCATAAGCCGTTCACTCACCGGCTCGCCGTTACTAGAAGGTTCCTGATGAGCTAATTTTCAATACAATAGGATAGTTATATTATGGTAGGAAGTAGGGGTGTTATAATGCATTGATTCATCAACTGTTTATTATTATTGCTCACACTACATGCATCGAATCACGTGCGAAAATAGCAGTGTTTTTACGTCTGTATTTACATTGTATGTAGCCACGAGAGGCCACAGCATTCACCACAGTGATCAACAATCATTCTTGATTGGAATCACAACTCTGAAGTGCAATGATGAATGGAAATCCAAAGGCGCGCAAAATGTTACGCCCCTTGTAGGGAGGCCATCATCATCGTCACTTGCCCCTGGCCAGAGCATAGCGGTTCCCACGAGACACCGGCAGGTGACTCGACTATCCCGAGATACGCTTATATACCTTGAATCTCTTCTTTTCCACTGCACATCCAAAGCCATGCCAGGGTTGTGCCAAGCAGGCCGTGCACGGCTCAAGAGGCACCAGCTGAATTTAACCACTGCAGAAGCCAAGCTTTGCCACACCTCCGATTAGCATGTTTGGCTATGTACGGTGCGAAAGAAGTTCAACATACGTACGTAAATGATGTGGTGACATTGTGTCCTCACAGTGTGCTGACTCACATCAACACAAAATTAACAAATGATTAGCCCCTTTCCTGGCCCTGCTTGGCCCCACGCCAGATTCATATGTTTTATGACACCCCTGGGCAGTGGTTGTGCTTGTCAATCGTCCAGCACTGTGGAGGTGACGGTTGGTAAAATCACACAAATGTTCTGAAACTCCCTTCCCATGGGCGTCGAGGTGCCATACCCTGGCTCGCCACGAGAAGGCAGTACAGCAAGTGGACTAATCAACATCAGTTTCCATCTGTATGGGAATATAGTTTTTGCTCCCTCGGGTGCTCCGGTCTCCTCCCACGAGTATAATAAACACTTATCATTAATTGTCTGAACATCTTAAAATGAAAAAAGAGAATACAGGACCCTCATGAAAAAGAGGCCTACGGCTCAGTGTGGCTCACTTGGATAAATCAGCGACATATGTCATTATTACACGGCTCGCGTATCACGGTTTGTTTTGGGCTTGGTACAGAAAACCACTCCTGCACTTTTGAGGGTCCCCCACCATGCTGGCTTGGCTCAAATGTCCCAACGGAAAAGGGGGTTACTTCTTTCCCATCTCCTCGACCTGGAAATTTGTTTTACAGCAGGGGCCAGTATACCCATTTGCAAGCGACTACTATTTACTCCAAGGTCGTACTTTGTTGTTGTTTTTTGACCCAAGAGATACGATGGAGAAAATTCATCTCCCCTGACTGGGATTTGAACTTGTGGCCCTACCGGTTGTGCCAGCCAACTATCAAATGAAAACAGACAACTCATCGGTGGGGTTTCATGTCTCGGCGAGTTTGGCTGGCTTGCGCTGAACTGTAATTAGCTGGTGTGCAAGTTCCGCATTTGGAGGACTCCCGCATTCCCGGTTTTGGCACAGCAGTCTCTTCGCTGAGAATGCAGGCAGTGAGTGGCGTGTGCATGGCATATCTCTTCACGTTAAAGAGACCTGTGGGTGTGAAGTCAATGAAGGGTTAATATCACATATCTGTCAGAGCCCATCACGTCCGGCTCACTACTTATTACACTGGGGCAGAGTTCAGCATCTGGGCAATGAAGACATCTGCGATTTCTATACACAGTAATAAATTGCCCTCGTTTGTGCTCATGGACTGGCTAGAGAGCTATGGGCTATGGCATCTGCCTCATATATTGCACGTTTGTGTCGGTGTATATGTGTGTGTATTGGGAGCGGTAGTGTAGCGGTTAGCGCACTGCGCTACAAACCTTGCGACCTGGGTTCGATTCCCGCTCACGGCCTACACCGGTAACGATTATTTGAACCGGTCCTGGACCTACCCTAGGTCGACTCAGCCACAAATGAGTACCTAGTGCGATGTGTAAACATCGCCGCTGGGGAGACAAAGGCGGCCGGGTGTGGTGCTGGCCACCCACCCCTTCGCGTGCCATGCCGTGCCGGCCTTCATAGGTGCTCATGAACGGCACTTGCCCCCCCTATAGTCTGTTAAGGCTATACGGGGGTTCTTTGTGTGTGTATGTGTTCGTGTGGCTGCGTGCGAGTGCGGTTCCACACGTGACCGCGCGTCTCGGTGTGCTGGGAGGTTCCAGGGCCCGTGTAATATCGCAATTAATAGTGATTTACTCGCCGCGCTGCAGGCGAGGCGCCCGCAACGCGCTCGGGAATGCGCCGAATCATTTTTCCATTAAGCTGCTCTATGACGTGACCTTTCCCGCTATTTACAAGGACACTGGCGGTTAATGAAATGAGGAATTAGAGTCGCACTCCTCCGCACTGCCTCATTTCTCCGCATCCACCAGTGTGAAAAACAGATAAATTGCTCGAGTAATAAATGTGCCAATCAATAATCATTTTCATTAATTTTAAATGCTTTTCTATTCCCAAGTTTCTTTGTGCTCAAAATTTCAAATCAGCGCCTCCAATTTTGTTGCCGCCCTATGAAAATATTCGAAATCGTAATTGCGTTGGTGAGAGACCAACACCAAATCTCGAAGCCATTAGGGCAAGGACATTGGGAAATGTGTTTTCCACTGCCGCGTTTACACCTGGCCGGTTTAGGGATGACCGCACGCTGGAATAGATCGTAGATGATGTGTTTTGGCAGCGAGCGGCAGTTTTAACATGCGATCCATGAGAATTGCCTTTTCCTGTGAAAACACACACTTCTCGTATTTTCGGTGTTAATCCCAAAAACATGTGCACATTCATGCGTCCAATATACTGCTGTGTGGCCCCGTGATGTCGGAGTGCCTATGAATTCTGAGTTCAAAAGTGAATTTCTTTTTTTGACTTAGCATTGTTTGGTACTTATGTTAAGGATGGTCAGCCAAAGCCACTTGGCATGTATATAAGATACATTTATATAATAATACATGTTTAGTCTTATGTGTGTGCTGTCGGGTTATATTCCAAAAAAAAAATTAAAGCGTTTCCCTGCTCATAGTACCTGGGTATGTTGTTGATCTCCTCATCTCAACCCCGAGCCTGCAGTGACTTGTGCATTCTTATTGCAGGGGCCAGTCTCTCCATAGGATGACCAATGTTGACTTCTCTCAAAGTGGTACTCGTTTTCCCCGTTGAGGAGGGAGGATGGCCTAAAGTGAACCGTGACAGTGAGCCGAGCGTTCTGCCCGCCACGCCACCTGGCCAGAACACGTCGCAGGCAGCTGCACGTGCCTTCATCTCTCGCGCGGAAATCTGAGAATCTGTCTTCTCACCCGACCGTTGTAATCTACTGAAAGACGCACAAGCCGGACTCTGTGTTGAATCTCCAAAAGAGACGAAGATTTAGCAGTGAAAGGGTTAAAACTCGCGGTTCCCCCCCCACTCCCCTTCGTAATCTGCAGGAGCCGGTGGAAGCGGAGGGCCCGTTGGCATTGGGGGGCTCAGCAGCTGGCGAGGGCCCCCCCCTGCCGGGGGTGACGTTCGGCCCGTCGCTGGCCGAGGTGGCGGCCACCCTGGATCGCTTGGTGGAGCACGTCGTGACGAGCGTGCAGGCCATGCCGCGTCTCGAGCACCAGCTCTTCCAGGTGAGGCCACCCACACCTTCACCCGCTCCAGGTGCTGCCACCCACACCTTCACCCGCTTCAGGTGCTGCCACCCACACCTTCACCCGCATCAGCGAGAGATTCGGCAGACACAAAGGTGCAGCCCTGCAGCTGCTTGTTCATTGCTACTGTTGGAAGAACAGCCCAGACTGGCGGGAGCTCTAGTAAGCTCCTCTGGCGGATGTTTTGTCCTACTCTTCTACGCTGGCCAGGTGTCTTCAAAGAGCTGGGACTACCCACACTTTAGCCCACCGCATGTGACCTGCCAATTGACTAACTGTGGCGTTACCCGTATGTACTGCTGGGCACACAGATGCAGGTGAATTGATTGCATGTTCCCATTGTTTTAACTTGAAACTTCTGGATTGCAGTTCTAGTGTGTTAAGCATTGCACAGTGGCAGTAGAATTGTAGGAGCATTCTCGCTGTTATCATTGCCATCATCACCATCACATTCATCGTGCGCAGATTCGTCATTATTGTAATTATGTACATCGGCAATATCATACTGCTGTTATCACTATTATCAGCATAATTATGAGATTAATCTTCTTATGTGCAGTTGTGCAAGGGTATGGCCATCATTTTTTATTACATACTACGTCTGCCATCTAGTGGAATAATCTGGAAAAAAATATTCCACGTAAGGGTCATTCCCAATAAAACGTTGTTCTTATGATTGCCATCAGCCTGTGGCGAGATGTTAACTACCTCGCCTGGTATACAGGAAGTCGTGGGTCGATCCCGATCCTGACGTCTATATTTGGAGTTTGCATGTTCTCCCCGTGGTCGCGTGGTATTTTTTCACGCGAACACGGGTTTTTTTCCCTCCACATTTAGAAACATGCGTTTGGAGTATTTGGCTGCAATACATTTCCACATGCAAGGCCACTTTCTTGAACTTTCATTTGTGGCCAGGTCGCTTTTGAAAAAGAGCTATACAGCTCAGTGGGCCTTGCCTGGTAAAATAAAAAAATAGTTTAATAGTATTCTTGGTTCTTTCGGTAAAGTCACGTAGAAGGGAAACAATAAAATCATAAAAATATAAAACAATAAAATTCTCACGACGTTTCGACTGCAACACAAGCAGTCGAAACGTCGTGATAATTTTATCGTTTTATATTTGTATTATTTTATTGTTTCCCTTCTACGTGACTTTACCGAAAGAACCAAGAATATGAATCACTGCAGTCACGAAAGCTTTAAATGAAAGTTTAATAGTAGTTTAGTACCTTTCCTGTATTGCACAAAGGCCTCCACTGTTTGCTTCCATTCCTGCCTTTGCCCAGCTGCTCTCATCTAGTCATGACCTCCGAACTCTCTGAATTTGTCTCGCTATCGCTGTCTCTTCTGCTGCCTTCCTCTGCTTCTTTTGTTCTCTCTTGGTCTTCACTCCATCGCCAAAGGTGCTGGATGCCCTGGAGTGCAATACACGATGCAGTTTTTACTCACATTACACTCAGCTGGATAACCAAATTGTTTAAAACACCATCAAAATAAAGTTGTACTTTCTCACGTGGACAAAAATAATAACACTCAAACTCCCGCACACAAAATTCAGCTCGTTAGCAAAATACCTACCGCACCTCCGATTAGCATGGTTGGCGACATGCGGTGCGAAAAAGTTCAGCGTACATACACACGTCTTACAGGCACTTCCTTGCACAGCAGGTGAGTGTTCTATGCAGTCTTCATCTCTGTGCGGACCACCATTCCCACCGGCAAGTTACCAGGGTATAGGAGTGGGCCGCCATGCATGGGACTTGCCACACCAATGTTAACACAGCGATTTCGTTTTCAGCAGTCACGGAGCGCTCCACTTCAAATGTCCCTTCAGATTTACCTTAAATATAATCAAATTTGTCACAGCCTTGAAATTAAATTGCCAGCGAATGCAGCAGCCACTTTGTGGGTTTTCGTGAGATTGGCGAGTTCAAATAACGCCGGACACCACACGTGGAGTTTCACAGCCCAGCCTCGCGTTCACACCCAGGGCTTTCCAATTAGGGTCCTCTCAGCTGGGTGAGGCCAAATTTAGTACAAAATAAATCATGGTTTATCTGTGTGTATGCTTTGTGTCCAGACAGAGGCCCTTCACTTTAGTGGGTTATCATGTGTTCGTGAGATAAAGGTCCCAGCCTGGTCACTAATGCCCAGCATAAAAAAACAGTATTATTTGTTTGCGCACAATGTTGTAAAATTCCAGGTGTGAGAGTAAAAATTATTGCTTCCACCGTTATGCGACAAACATTTTTCTCTGCAGTAGGTTCGGGGTGGCGATGGGAAAGTACTGCCTCCTGGTATGGATGAGCAGTCGCGACGAGATTTAAAAATAATTCTGACATCTCCTTTCACACACCGTCCTCTGCACATGGGGTAATGCTCTCCTGAGTTCGGAATGGATTCTTTGTCTCGGCACGCGATGCTGATAGCACAATCCGGATACATTTGGGGGGGAAAAGGCATCAAAAAGTTAGGAAAATAATTTTGCTACTTGGCTGTGACGATCAGCTCTGTTGTGCTTGATATCCTAGTTTAATGAAATGTGGCAGTTTTTTTGTTACATTTATCATTTTCTTTGAACCTACCTACGTGACTTTACCGAAAGACCCAGAGAATATAAATATGGCAGTTCAGAAGTTGAACAAGTGGACTGAGTCTTGTGTCCTTACATCACCATTGTTTCCTGAGCCACCCAGCCACCTATATGTTTTTTTCAGATTTAAACAGCATGACTAAACAGTCAAGATCAGTTTTATTTAAATGTCGCTATCGTTCTCATTCACAATCACGGTTTTTTTTCGTTATATCGCATAGATGTAAATGTGTCGTAAATCATCCTCGACCCCGCACAGCCAATGAGTAAGGTTTGTGACGTGAATACTGGTGGGTTAGAGAGCAAACCCACAACATTTACAATTTGAGTAGGACATTTCTCTGGTGATTACAACCAGCTTCATCAGGTGATTGTCATATTGTAAATGTTGTGGGTTTAATCTTTGACACACGGATGTGCTGAAATAGTAACAAATTGGCAGGTTTTGTTTACATAACAAACCGTAATAATTGTCTGTGTCAGGCGGAGGTGGATTTACAACACATTTAAGTTTATGCATTCTAACCCCAAAACACTATGTCATGAATTACATTGGTCGTGAAAGCCTACGTGTTATATCGGTGGCGTGTTACAGGAAGAGGCGTTCATCCTGAACTCTCAACGAATATTGTATGCTTCGTGTTCGAGGAATTGCCTGTGGATGCAGATTTCACAGAACTACTTGTAAGATTTCTTCTAATGGCCTTTCCACACCCTAGCGAATGCACGTTTCCACATGCCCTGCTCTCGAGAAAAGTTAATCACTTGGTAATCAAATCGATATTTGGTTTAATTCTCAAGAGGTGGAACTTAGCTAAATGAAGTTAAAAAACAAATGAATTTTCTTATTTTGTTCGTGCAGTCATCTGTGAACTGGGTTGAGACTTATATTCCTGGTTCTTTCGGTAAAGTCACGTTGAAGGGAAACAATAAAATAATAAAATATATATAAAACAATAAAATTCTCACGACGTTTCGACTGTAACACAAACAGTCATCATCAGTTATGAAAATGGGTTGAGACTATAAACTAATTTCGCTTGAGAAATTACTTTTGTCTTGGGTGTCTAAACGTTTGAGTGGAGGACTATCCTGCCAAAGAGGCATGATGAATTTCAAAGGGCATTACTATTCTGTGATTTGTTTACGTTAATTTGTTACATAATTGTATTTTTTCTGCTTGAACGTACTGTTTGCATAAATCAACTATTAACAATAAAAATAACAGCAATCTTAATTACTGTAATGGGCACATTTTCTGAGGTTGACTTGGCCTATGACATAAGGCTTGCCAAAATGAATGGCGCTTCATGCAGCCTCAACAGCCTTGCCCACTGGAATGTGGAATGTCCGCTGCGGCCACAGGATAACAGCGCGCGGGACACTTGGACCTGTTGACTTTAATTCTCCTCAGTAACGCACAAACAAAATATTACAGCCGCAATTACTGCAAATGCAGCATGCAAGGCCTACAGGCTGATGAATGTTATCTCCTTGTCATACGTTTATCAAACTCCTTGTCTCCTTTTAGTTTTTTTATTGAAATATTTGCTGAAGCAGCAGCAGCACACATACTTAGTTGAGCATTTGCTATGCATTGCTGCGTGTCATATATTATTTTGGTGGGGGGAAGGGGGGTTAGGCTGCTTCCGCCTCTGACAGAGATGCTCAGCTGCATTGGTGTAATCGGCAACACTGAGGCGATATGACTCGTTGGAATCGGGAAGGAAAAAAAATGTCTCGGCTTTCCTTTAAATCAAGATAACATTTCAAAGTGTCCGCCTGCTCAAATGAGCAATACGGTGGCGCTAATCTCCATTGGCAGCTTTGCCGCAGTTGGTGGTGGGAATTCCTTCTTCCCAGAGGTCAGTCTCTCGCAGAGGTCAGTCTTATGCAGAGGACATCAGCCCTCGTCATTTGCTGACTTCCCAAAATGCGGTACTAATATTATATCTGCTGCCAGAAGGAAGCTGGGCTGGTGGGGATTTTCTTTATTACGCAAATTGTATACACACGCCTTAACCCCAGCACAACCTGGCTGAGGTGGCTGCGGATGATTAATCCGATGGACACATACGCCGAGAGATAAATGCCATGTTCCTTCATTATCTTGCAGTCACAAAGCAATATATATTATTTTTTTTACAATTTATTGCTATTTTGTTCTGAAACACCACACACATTAAATTTGAGAATCGTGCACAAAATATACAATGCTGATGAGAAGCCAATTTCAGGATGGTTAAGTTGGCTATAATGGAAGATAAGAAATATGAATTCAAAATTTGTTGATTGACCTGAAGCTTAGAGGCACTGGACAGAAGAGTTTGCGTTGTAGTCACTTACGTTAGGAAGCTTTACACACGTGAATAAACATGTATACACACCTAAACAATCTGTGGTGATGCTGCGTTTGGCAGTAGTGCACACGCAGAATAAACAATATTCCTCAACACATTCATCAGAAGAAGAAGAAGGCCCATTGCCGGAAACTTCGCCTGTAATATATAATTCATTTTAAGACTACAGTGTGATTGACAAATGTGTTGAGTTTGTTGTTCATTTCAATACACGCTTATGTAACACGGAGGTCTAAGGTTAACCAACCAATCTAGTTTTCATATAACCTTCCGACAGGTGTTCGTTCTGGTTACATGGAATTAGATAGTTTTTTTATCTCCAACGCTAAACTTTATAATTTTTTGTTGAGCAAAAGGAATGGCGCAGATAATATGCATATTTACAAACTTGTATAAGGAGATCAACACAGTTTCTCACGGCTGAAAAGATGGTCAACATTTTGGGTTGGCAAAAGGAGCTGATGACTAATTTTATGTTATTCGGTTATTGCTAAGCACTCGTATTTGCTGTTTGTACTGATTTAGAGTTTTGTTTAAACAAAAATGTCAACTCATGTGATGAAAACAAAATTAGTGCTTCCTGTTGAAATGTCCCATATACTATCAGGCCTTCCTTGAGAATGAGATAAGCTCTTACCTGTTAAAATACAAACCTTAGTCTGTCTATCTACGTGTTTATTTGTCTTTCCATGTTTCTATCTGAGTAGCTTAGAACCCTGCTCAGACAGAGCTGACAAACATCATAAGTGTTCCGTGAATAAAAGAAATATATATTTTTGTTATTTACGGAGTTTAGTTTAGTGCTCCATTAGCACAAATTTGAACAGCTGTCCACAATCATTGGCCTCCTGGCAGTAATTGATTAATTAAGCTAATTGCAATGCTGTAACAATACAGCAAATGTTAGCTTTGCCCTTGTGTTTATGTTGTGAAGACTGTCCATCTCACCACGGGTTCCCACAAAATCCATAAATTCATAGGAATGGCGAGATGTTAACTACCTCGCCTGGTATGCAGGAGGCCATGGGTTCGATCCCAACCCTGATACCTGCTGTATATTTAAAATTTGCATCTTCTCCCTGTGATCGCACGGATCTTCCTTCTGGTTTTTTTCCATTCACATTTAAAAACATGCGTTTAGATTATTTGGCTGCCATAAATTTCCGCATGATGACCCAAATTCGTCGTGCGATCATTTGTGGCCAGGTTGCTTCTGAAAAAGAGCTATATAGTGCAGAGTGGGCCTTATAGCTGGTGAAATAAAATAAAAACAGTAGTTTATAGTAAATATAAATGTATGATTATTTTTTTTTGGCCAGTGATGGATGGAGATTGTGGAGATTGCAGAGTATGTAAGAAGCTTTAAGCGATTATAAAAAGTGAATGTGAAAACACAGGTGTCCCAATAGTCCATTGAGCACGGTACTATGCTCATCCCCATTGCCAGCACTGGGTAAGTGGTAAAAAAGACACTTGCTCATAATTTGGGGCCCATCCACAATTCACTTTTTTTCTTTTAATAGACTTCAAGCGAAAGAGTCTCCCTGCTGAATTGACAGTGGGGCAGTGTTCGTCTGTATTGGTGGCTCTGAGCCAATTTAGTCCATGGGCCCCAGACTATATGTTTAATTTGCCAGTACCACCTGTTGTGATTTCTGACAAGGTCTATAACCATTGGTAATATTTTGATGTGATAACCACTGCAAAGGTTATCATACTTTAATTCACTTTTACAGGCCATATAATTCACTTTTATTGGCCGTATAAAAAAACGGTATCACTCAACTTTCGATTTCTTCAAGGGGGGAGTACCATTTTCTCCTCCTGCCCATGAACCAATGCTAGAAATTCTACATTCCTACAGCGGGGCGAGTGTATCCGTGGAACATGCGCTGTCGGTTTCCCCACAAAAAGGAAATAATTTTAACAATCACTTCGATAAATCATGGACTGAGTTGTCTCCTGACCAAGAGTTAAACTTAAAACTGTTCATATTCTTGGTTCTTTCGGTAAAGTCACGTAAAAGGGAAACAATAAAAAAATTCTCACGACGTTTCGACTGCAACACAAGCAATCACCATCAGGTGTGATTTTGTTGTTTTGTATTTTTTTCTTATTTTATTGTTTCCCTTCTACGTGACTTTACCGAAAGAACCAAGAATATGAATCCCTGCAGTCACGAAAGCTTTAAATCAAAATTTAAAACCGTTCAGTTGTGAATTAAGCAGTTTAACTAACAGTATTGCCTGTCTGAACATAGAGATATTTCCTTACTGGTTAAATATTAACTATCATTGCACGGTATGCCTGGGTGATTGGGTGGACTACTGAACATCTGTGAAAATAGCTTTATAGCTCATCGGATTCCTCCAGTATACATACATATTTTGACTAATGCTGCCGAGCAGGGTATGGAGCCAGCATTGTTTCTATTCTGTGGCAGTTGAGTAAAACGGCGAGTAACGTGTTCTGAGTTGTTAAAGTTCCTGTGTGCAGTTTGATGAACTTGAGCCATCTACTGTGATTGGCCGAATGAGCTTCCCAACTTTCCCCAAACTATGTTTCGAGGAGACAGAGTGATGAGGTCTGATCAGCTGTGTGTGGCTGATGGGAGGCCCGCTATGTCCATTGATGGGAATTCACTGAACACAGTTTAAATGCTTACATATTTAGTGTTTATTGATATGTGATTTTACAACTTAGATATTATTTTCTTTAGCAGGAATATCTCTAATTTTGTTCACGTACATGGATTTGGCTATTTTTTATGACCACTACCTTCAAAGTCCCAACAGCAGGGAATGTACCAGAGCATTTGCCTCACTTTCAGAGGGTTGTGGGTTCAGATCCCTGCCAGCTGACAGCTCAAGCTATCATCCATCCTGGATTGATTAAATTGATACAGAACTACTTTCTGTGAAGGTAACACCTGGTGTCCTGACGGGCGACTGACCTCTACCATGGAAATCAGGAATGGTATACTGCTAGCTCATGGCCGTAAACACACTGACCCATGAAAACCTTTTGATGTTTGTTTGTTGTATGCTACAATGTACGCTTCAATGTTCCCAGTCATGCAGGAAGTTAATGCAATGTCTCTGTGCTGCCATCAGCACCCTATCACGATGTGCATAAAATGCATTCTTGGCGACGACATCTACTTGATGTTGCTTGCTGTCCTGTAAAATCTGCTTCCCGTCATTGCTCGCAGACTTCCAGACGAATGCGCTTTCTCCGTTTCCTCCCGCAGGCCACGGACGCGCAGGAGGTGAAATTCATCGGCGCCGTTCAGATTCACGATGAAATTGTCGTCAGGGCCAAAGCACGAATCCGAGTTGTTCTGGAAAACAACAGCCCCGGGCCCTCACGGTGAGAATCCGCAACCCGGAATGAAAGCGCCCCTCCTGGGCTTTCATCAATATTCACAGTTGCCACTCTTTGTTGCAACAACGTTTGCAAGATGGATCGAGCAGGAATTTAATATCGCGAGCTGACGCGCCGGTTTTAATTTGTGCCGCCTTTAAGCAACTCGATCTCGAAGGAGGTTTTTGGGTGGCACGCCAGAGCGTTGGGGTTGCACCGCATGCCTCAGGTACGGTGGGGTCACAAGTTCAAAAAGGGCCAACTTCTTCGCTAGGTTTATTGGAGAGAGCGGCATTAAGCAACTCTGTTGCACACATTATCAAGTGTGTGATTGACATGCAGGCAGCGTAGTGGGTGCTTTCGCAGTCGGAATTCGCCAGAGGTTTAAAGGTTTATAGGCCACACAATTGAGAGCCATATTTAAGGGAATTCTACTCACCGACTCCTCTGTTCGCAGTTTCACAGTAGAATTGTTAATCGATCTCACAAAGTTCAAAAAGCGCCATAATACCTACCCATTGCTTCCTTCCTTCTGCCAGATGCTGTAGATGGTGCTCATTGCCACCCGACAATCTAAGCACCACCCTTACTGGTTCATCATCACCACCGTCTGGCACTGAACTTTGGTTCCCACTGCAGTGCCTGTCCCAGTGACCTGCCCCCTTTTATTTTGCACACGCGTCCCATCCATCTCCCTGATGAATGTCTTTTTTGACGTGATCTTTCCCTAACTTTTTATGTTGCTATCCTTTTCCTGTCTTAAAAATGCGTAATGTCTTCCACGTGCATTGATATACAAAGGCCATACGCTTTTTTTGTCTTCTTGTATTTATTTAAAATAACAGTACCGTGTGCTGTATATTATTATCATCACACTACTCTCTGAGTGCGTCGTCTTAACAAACTTAACACACCGCGTGCGTATTTAAAAGGCCCTGTTGCTATGGTGACAGGCACTGGGCATTAGTTGAGCGCTCATTTACATTTAGCAGAGGTAAGAAGAATCCAGCTTCTTGCATTTCCCCAGAAATTTCAACGCGCTTATTTTTTTTTCTATAATCGTGACAGCGACGTGTACAGGTAATGACACGTGTCCAGGTCGTAAGCCGCAGTCTCTCGGATGCAAATCATCCTGTGTCAGTCCCCGAAAGTGGTGAGAGCCCTCCCGGTCCAAACACAGATGCTCGTCACCCATTATGCGGGACAGACGCTGGACTGAAATGTCATTGGTCGTTTACCCCAAGGCTCTACACTGCTCCTCACACTGCCCTTTTTAAATTCCAATTTTAAAATAAATTAAATATTTACATATTTGAGATTACGTTTTCACTTTTCCATTTTCCCGTAATTGTTATGTCAGTGCCAATTAATTAGCAAGTGCATATATATTGCAATTTGAATCCCATACCAACGACACAATAACCATGACTTATCCTGGCAAATGGCATAGCAACATTCCCTTCAGCACCACATGCAGTAAACATCTGTTCTTTGTAAGGCAAACTGAGTCTAATGCGTATTTAACTCAGTTTCTGATGCCACTATCCTTGAAGCTAGCTGCCACTGAGTGAAGCACTCGCTTTTGTACGGGATGCTTGTGAGGGGTGATGGCTTGTGCCGTTAATATTGACTCAGCAGTGCTCATCAAACTCACTTCACATGAGTTTTTTGTGGGGTTGTTTTTATTTTTGTTACCCAGGGGGGAGGTAATGCCAATTTATGTCTGTCCAAAACTCTTGCTCGAAACTCGGCGTCTCAGAAGTGCCATCCCATAATCATGGCTTGGACATTGCCCCCCTGAGCCAATGCGTAGCCTTGGCTGTGTATTTATTTGCACAGCATTTATTAGACTGTTTTTGCATGCTGATTACCATACGCTTTAGCTGTGCTCTCAGCATCCAGGGCATGGAAACTTAATCTTTTTTTTACCGCAATTCTTCCTTTGACAGTCGAGCCAAACTTCGGATTGTGTACATAACCACAGAAATATACTTTTAGCAGCCCCTGGCCATTCACTGGCCTGCAGCTTACTTTATATTTAGCTGCCCACCCGTGTTGAGGATTCCGTCTACTGGCCTGACCGTGTCATCCCTTCCACACCGCCGTGTTCCACCACGGCACTGCGGGTCACGACTCTTTTCCTTCTGCGTCTTCTCCTCGCACTGCTCCACTTTGAAATTCCCTTCCACGGTCTCTGTGAACCCAAAGCGTTATAACCCTTACTCAAATCAACAATTGTAGTAACTCTTATCCATTGCAACTTTAATGCCGATGTTTGTTGCTGGACGCTCGGTGATACGATACTTTGGCCTTGTGTTCAGGCTTCAGTCGTTACTCTGATGAGGAAGCAAAGCATGTGCCTGATTGGTGTCATGAGTCAATATTCATTTTCAACAAGCTTGCGTTTGATGCTCATGATTAATAACATTATTATTCAACTCTTAAATTAATTCCAATGAATTAGGCAAAATATGTCCAGCTGCGAGGTTTGCTTTAAAATGACCGCATAATTTTGTATTATTGCTGTTGATTATTATTGCTGTTGATCATCAAACTTGGGTTGGAATTTAATTGAAATGAAATTTTTTATAACTACATTTTTAGATATATATTTTTAAAGAGTGTAATGTTAAAGCCAATTACTTGTAATGCAGTTGAGGGGCACCGCAGTGGCAATATGCTAACTACCTCGCCTGGTATACAGGAGGTCGTGGGTTCGATCCTAACCCTGACCCTGATACGTGTATATTCGGAGTTTGCATGTTCACTCCATGGTCGCGTGGATTCTTCTGCAGGTCCTTCGGTTTTTCCCTCCACTTTTAGAATCAACATCCATTCAGAGTATTTGGCTGCAATAAATGAACCTTATGGCGGAACCTCGGGGTCCCATAAGCCCCCCGGCTCTCGCATAAACTGCGATGCGACGTCATTTTATTTCTGTTGAAGGCGAACGACACGGCATTCTATTCCTCTCGACGAGCTCTACACGATGCGCTAATGAAAGTTTAAAAGTTTTGTTTATGACTACGGCAATTTTGCTTGGTGAAGAACGAGAGGATGATTCCTGCTAGGTCGTTTATGTGCGCGGTGGGACGGAGTCGCCAAAAAGAAGGAAATTAATTACGATTTTGGCTTCCGTTGGGACCCCGGGGTCCCGCCATAAGGTTCAAATCTCCACGTGATAAACCACTTCGTTGAGCTGTCATTTATGGCCAGGTTGCTTCTGAAAAAGAGCTATGCAACGCAGTGGGCCTTACCTGGCAAAATAAAAAAAATAGTGAGTGAAATAGTTAGAGTACTGCCCCACATTCATTTGAGCGGGGGGGCACAATTCGGATGTCATTTCATGTTGCGTAAGACGACAATGGGTGCCCGGCAGCAAGGAGGACCTGGGTTCAATTCCCGACTCAGGCACCTTTCTGCTTGCATCTTTTTCCTCTGGATTCTCAGGATTCCTCCCGTAGTAAAAAAAAAATAGGCAAGCAGTGTAGCTGCTATTGCCCAAAATAGCCCAATGATAAATAAATAAATACCTGAAAATTACTCAATTGGGATTACAAACAGCAGCAACATCGCCCCCTTGTGCGACAACTTAGCAGTACCCTCCCGAAAAAGAGTCTCAGAGACTCAGTGAGGCTTTCCTGGGCAAACAAGTGTAGTAATAATAATAACAGAGACCATTTCCAAAACTGTTTGGTGCAAAGTCACCTATATTGGTTAAACACATTATACGTTGTACCATGTTTCTGCTGTTCATAAATTATAACCACGTTTCAGCCACCACATGAATCAGCCCGTTGTTTTGAGGAGGATGATGATGATGGAGCAATGAAATCAGCTCATGTGGAGGTCCCAGGTGCATTGTCACATCACACGATTGTGGGAAATGATGACGGCTTGGGAGGCCTTCATCCAGCAGGGGATTGATCATTGATGATGTAATGATGTTGATCGCGGCGATGTCAACAATGTGTCAGTCGAACCCCTTTTAAAATTATGACGACGATGGCGATGACGACGACGACGATGACAATGATGACGGTGGCGACGACGACGACGATGATGATGATGATGGCAATGACGACGCTGGCGATGACAATGACGGGATGACGACGACAATGATGATGACCACGATGACGGTGATGGTGACGTCGATGGGCGATGACGACGACGACGCTTACGACGACGATGACGACGACGATGATGAGGTCGGCAATAACGACGATGATGTCGGCGTGCCCCCAATGCCAGGTACCGCTCCGTGTACGGCCACTTCGCATACCTGCTGAACGGCGGCGCGGGGGCCCGGGCTCAGGCCCTCACGAGCCGCGAGCCGCCCAACCTGGTCGCGTCGGCGCGCGAGATCCAGCGCCTGCGGGCGCTGGCGGGCGCCGCCTCGTCGCTGCCCACCGCCGTGCCCCTGCGCCTCTTCCTGCTCGACTGCTCCACGCTCAACCAGGTGGCACGCTCGTAGAGAGCCGCGACTACCACCGTACACGACGACGTTATACATGACCCACGTGAACACCGTCTCCCCACCCCCTCCCCCCCCCCCCCCCTCCTCTGGTCTTCGCACCTGATAGGCTCGCAGTGATGACATCACCTTTACTCCTCTCTTTAAGAGGAGAAGACAAGAGGGGTCCATCGCAGTTCTGGCCAATCGCATGATGAGGCTGGTTGCAATCGCCAGCGAATTGTCGTACTCAGATTGTAAATATTGCGGGTTTACTCTCCAACACACTGGTGTGCTGAAGTAGTAATGAATTTGGCACATTTTGTATACGCGACAAACCTCACTAATTGGCGGTGTCGGGTGACGGTGGATTTAAAGACACATTCATATTTAAGTGATCTAACCCTAAAACATCTTTTTTTACGGATGATATTGGTCGTGAAAGCCTACCACGTGTTAAACTGACGACTTAGACGTCTAACCTTCTAGCGCCGACGAGAACTGCGCTCGTAGATACGTGCCGAGGTGATCCCGCGCATGCACGTGGTGGAGGGGACGCGGTGGCGAGATGTTCACTACCTCATCTGGTATACAGGAGGTCGTGGGTTCAATTCTGACCCTGACGCCTGTATGTTCGGAGTTTGCGTGTCTTTTTCCCCGTGGTCACATGGATTTTTCTCCGGGTCCTCTGGTGTTTATGAACGTAAGTTCGAAGTATTTTGGCTGCTATAAATGTCCACAAGATAAGCCACTTCGTTGAGCTATCATTTGTGATATCCAGGTCGCTTCTGAAAAAGAGCTACATAGCTCAGCGGGCCTTATCTGGTAAAATGTAAATATTTAGAGTTTTTCTTTTTTTTACACGTGTTTACGTTCCTATGCCAGCGGTTTTTGGTTCGCACAATACCCACCACAGAAAAGGCGTCTTTTAAAGCCACGAGCCTAGCGCTGACGACTACTGACCTCCCCCACTCCCGTTTGTGCAGGGAGATTTCCGGGTGTCATTCATGTTGTGTCACGAAGGTTATTCTCACTGCTGTGGCCGGTCTGTATCAGGTAATGGTTTAGATAGACCACTTGAGCATAGATGAGGCCTCTGGCTCAGGATCTACCGTATTCTTAGGTTTATAAGAATGCCCCCGAAAGGTAATACGCACCCCAGGCATGTACCCGGTGTCAATAAAGTTACACAAAGACAAGGATACCCCCTTGTAGCCTTAAAAGACGGTCGGGGAGAGTGCTGTTAGCGAGGACCGATGGAGACCGGCACGGTGCATGAGGTGGCCAGCACCATTACCGACCTACCTTTGTCGCCCGGTGGTAGTCCTTGCACATCGCTCCAGGTACTCATACAAGGCTCGGTCGACCTAGGGGAGGCCCAGGACCGGTTCAGATATTCGTCACTGGTGTTTGCCGTGAGCGGGAATCGAACTCGGGTCGCTGTGCTCATAGCACAGTGCAGATCTGGTCACACACACACACATACACGTCTTATAAGATGCACCCAAAAATATGTTTTTTTAAACATGGAGCCAAATGTGTAAATATAATATCGACACAGGAGAGATAATGGGTTTTGTGAATCCCTGACTTGGATTTGAATTTGTGACCTCATTGCGAGTCAAACTCAGTAACCGCAGTCACACCTGGCCCGCTGATGGGTCGGAGATCAGCAGCAGTTCTGCCGGCAGCCTGCTCCTGACTATGCTAATGGGGAATTTCTACCGCTTGAAAGGATACACTGCGAGTTTATTTTCACTCTCAAATGATTTATGATGTTTTGCTTTTGGCCTATTCCTGCTTAATTCGGATACTCTTAAGGCTGCAATTTGTAAATTAGTATTATCTTTACATTTTCAACCTCCTGTGCTACGTATGAAGTGTTGTATAAGAGAGGCTGATTGAAGTGACTCCAAGAAAACGACGCAGTCTCATTTTCCCTTGCCTCTTCTCCGACGTAGTGTGATTTGTGACTGACTGTACGAGTTCCAAATGGACAATTCTTCATCTCGATTCGTGACTCTAATATAGCGCAGTTGGGATATGGTGGATGACGAACATCAACAGTGTAACCCACACTTTGCTCAAGCAATTTCTCATCGCTGTTAACATCTCGGAGCCAATGGTGGTAACTTCACATTTCCATGGTCTATGCCAGTCTACATGTAAGGATATCTACTTTTGACTACCCACAAAAATGTATTCACTTTATCAGTCTTATAGGGATAATTGGCTGTCAACATTTGACGGGAACTTTAATCCCCATCTTTCAGATTAATGCAACAAACCTTGCTTGACAATTGAAGCTAACATCTCAAATATTCACCTACAAACTCTTAATTCGCAATCCACAATACGCGCGCGCCCCGTATTTCGACAGCATCATCGCCCGCCCACTCCCACTCTCCGCACGGTCCGCGCTCGTGTAGCAGCAGCAGCGGCGGCAGCGGCGGTGGCGCGTTGCCCCTCCTCGTGAGCCCGACGGCGCCTGGCCCCACCTCGTCACCATCCGCATTCGCTCCTCCTTGCGTCCACCCACCACCGGCCAGCTTGCGCGGCCACCACTCTGCGCTCGGGGCCGCCGTTGCTTAATCTCTCGCGACACGTGACGTTGCGGCCAGAGAGGAAGCCAAAGCCGCATCCCTTGCCCTCCCTCGACCGCATTCACCCTCGCTGAATTTCCTGCCGTCTTGGCTCCCCGGAATCAGCTTTTTAGTAAATTCGCTTCTGCGCTCGGGAGGGTGGATTTGAAGGGGGGTTGGCGGGAGGAGGTGGCGAAAGCGAACTCAGATGTCTATAAAAAGCCCGAGAAGCTGTGAACTTCGTGTGACCCATAGCAGCGGTGCAACACGCACAGTTACATATATATTAACACAGACACTTACGTAAACGCTCCTTCGCTCTGCCATGGAACAAGATATTTATTTTATTTTTAGCACAAGCGTTGCTTCTGTCACTTACCACCTCTGGACATAAACCTTTTTTAATGACGTTACGCACTGCGATGCATTGCCAGTTTCATTTATATGCCATAATATTTAATAGAATGACCAGGTCGTAAAACCCATGGTCCTATTTTCTGCTCAAAAGAAAATCTTCAAAAACATCTTCATTGGTTTTGTTTCTTCATCTTTCCAAGGTCATCACCAACGTATCCTGCGTTGCACTTACCCAACTTTACTGTGTCATGGATATGCAGATGCCTTCTTGATTACTATCCCTTACCAAGGGCATTTGTTAGCCTCTGTCAACAGTGTCAAGGCGTTTGCGTGATGCTTTATGCTCCTTTACGAGATCGAGTGGTGCTATCATTTGAGTATTCGACGCACGGAAGGATGCAAGTTCAACTCCTGGGTGTTGGGTCGACTTGGCCAATTATTCCTCCATGGCTATATAAAATGAGTACCGCTTTGTGGGAAATTTTCAGATTTAGGCCATCCAACAGAGATCAGCATTGACCCACACTTTTAGACACATTGATTTGTTGACTTTTGTCACCCAACACAGGCACAGATTGTGGCGCAGTGGTTTAGTATACTGTTCTGTGAACCCAGCCACCCAAGTTCAATCTCAGGCCTTGGCTACCCTGGGCTCCATATTTCACCAGGCCATGCTGACAGTTGGCTACATACAGCGCCAAAGGAGTTCAACGTACATACAAATGAGTTAAAACAACCCCGTTTAAAGTTCTGTTCGGGCATTGCTGTGGTCAACCCCCATTGTACATCCGTGATCAATATAATGGGTACCAGTATGAAAGAAGCAAGGGTGGGTTCTTCTATGGATGGACCGGCTCCTGTCCAGGGATTTTTTGCCACCACTGCTTCAGGATCTCAAACAGAACCAAGTGCTGCCCAATTGCGTCTTTTGAGCAGTGAATGGTTACACTTATTTTTGAATATAAATGATTGCTCTTTTGAGTTCATGTTAGTGTTCTTTCATTTAATTAGGCGTTGTCCCATTATTATTTACAATCTCTTTGGAAAGGTCATTCCTGAGTAAGAGTAGTTTATTGATTGCAGTTATTCTTACGAGTATACCATTTACTGCTGGTATTCGGATTTTGTCCAATTTAAGAAAAGAAAAACGTTTTTTGAGCAATTGCCACATGTTGGAATTCATCTATACACACGAGAGGGTGGCAATCGGGCTCTGACTCCTAAGTCAAAGTCAAAAGGTCTTCCAGCTCAAAACGATCAATGGATGGCAATCATCTCTATTGAGTGCCTTGAACCAATGTCTCCCCAGTGAGGATGTTTACACATCGCACCAGCTACTCACTTGAGGCTGAGTCGACTTAGGGAAGACCCAGGACCGGATCAGACCATCGTCACTGGCGTTGGCCGCGAGCGGGAATCAAACTCGGGTCACTGCCGGGTTCGTATCTCAGCGCGCTAACTGCTGCACTGCCCCCCCCCCCCCCCCCACCGACACTTGGTAGAGACGGACCAAGCACATGCACAGACACTTTTCCATATGGATGGGATGTTTGAAAAAAAAGTGCCGTCCTCTCTTCAAACCCCCCCGCCAAAAAGAGAAAGCCACAGCACCACAACAAAACCTTAGGGCTTCTGCAATGTCCACAGGGTCACGCTTGACGTGGTTATTGATTTTTTTTGCGACAACGTCTGAGACGGCTCACGCTCCTCCAATCATCCTCGCTGGCGTGCAGCCCTTCCAGCCCCCCCCCCACCCACAGTTCTCCGTCTTTATTCAAGCGCGAACGCTCGCGTGGCCCTGTGTCAGCTCGTCTCTGCGACAGGTTTTTCCGTAAAAAAAAAAAATCACCGGGGCCAAACCTCGCTCGCCGTTTCCCCCGCTAACGGCGGCGGCGGCGGCGGCCGGGCAGCTAAGGCGGGTGCACGTATGATGATGTCGTTGGCAGCAGCAGCAGCAGCCCTGAGCCAGCGGTGAAAATCCCGCTGTCCTATTGACAGCCATTCTGGTTTTAATGCACCCGTATTTGTCAATATTCAGTCACTTTTGGTGGGGGCAGTGGGGGGGAG